AACTACTATGGGGCCTCTGGGTAAACTCTAAATCTCTTACTAAGCCGAACCTACTGTGCATGTCAGGCCTTGGCAGGAGCTTGACGCAAACAGCGTGACTCGAAAACCGTAAAGGCAACATGGAACACACGCGGTGTGCAGAATACAGGCCGTAGGGAATATGATTCGGAATATGCCTTTGCAGTCTCTAGGCATCGCAGATGGCACAACCCGAAGCAGAAGCCTGGTTGCTCAGGTTATGTGTTTTGCTTTCATGTGTAATTGGGAGCCTTAATAATTAGACTAGGGTTCTGGGGCTCTTTGTACTATGATGATACTATGGAACGCAAGTTCTTCCTCACAGGTACACCCACGCCAAGCTGGGGATCACCATCACCGGCGAGTGGGCGGAAGACGTGCAGCACGGTTTCGGGGTACCTCGCCCGCAAGGTTTGAGTCTGCAGATCGTTGGTGATGTCCTGATGTCTCGCAATCATACCGGCAACCCTAAACCCTAAACCCTAAACCCTAAACCCTAAACCCTTAACCGACGGGCAACTAGCTTCAACTAGTCAGGTCTTTTTGTATCCAGTCAAGGACTCCATCCGAACACCGTGGAGTCGCGAAGTGATTGCTAATCATACTTGCATCTGGGTAGTTCTCTAAATTAGGGTCCCTTCTAGGGTCCCTTTTACAAGAGTGCCGTACTATTTGGGGGACCTAAAAAGGGGACCCTAATTTAGAGAACTGCCCACATAGCCGTCTCATAGGTTCGTTTGCTTTTACCCTTGTCGAGTCATCGCACAGGTCGAGATGTGGGCCGGTGGTGCCCGTTTCGAAGGTCGCGGTCCCAGAGGTTTAAATGCGAGTTTGCGAATGTAAGCATTGGAGAACCGACCGACACGCAAAACCGATAAAGGGATACATTCCTAAAGCGTATAGGGATCTTATCCAAGGCTGCGCGCGTTGTTCATTAGGGCCCTTCGGCAGCTTCAACTAACTTCTTACCACTCAGCTAGTTGCGGATGCTTCCTTATTCTGGGCTTTAGGGTTTCGAGGATTTTCGTTTGAGGACGTTAAGAGCTGGCGAAGGAAGCCTCTACCGCCAAAAAACTCCGCACTACCCTATAGAAGCACAGTTACATGTAAGATGTCGGTTGGGTGTTCCCCTAAACCCTACCTTAAGAACCCAAAACCCACCTTTTTGTAGGTTCTTATTCTAAACCCTAATATGGGATTTATAGAGACCCTACACAAAAGTAGGTTTCGGGTTCTTAAAGTAGAGCCCAAAATCCTGAACTTCTCGAGTTCCACACCGGGAAAGCCCAGACTCCAGCTTCCCCCAGCATCTTTCTTACGGCAGGGCCGTTGCGCAGGGTTTCAGGTTTAGGGTTTCATAGGGTTTTATAGGGTTTAGGGTTTAGGGGTTTATAGGGTTTAGGATTTAGGGGTTTATAGGGTTTAGGGTTTAGGCTTTTATGGGGTTTAGGGTTTAGGGGCCCCTCTGCTCAAGCTCAAAACCACGAAAGCCGCACGTCAACGCTCCACTTCCCATCGCAGGCCAATATCGCTTCGGCCAGAAGCAGGGCCTTGGGACCGCAGCTTGGATTGTTGCTGTCCTCGTGCTCAGTTTCGAACATGCGGGTTAAGCGTAACTTAAAGAGACGCATGAGGTTTTGTCTCGCATGCGCTTCGTCTAAAGGCAACACAGTGAGATCTTTCCGCTGGCGCTAGGAAGGCAGTTAGTGTTGGATGTAGTGCGATCCCTCCTGTGACGGTGCCATGCCACATGCTCAGGCCTCAGGGTTCAAAACTTGAGGCCTGTAACCCTAAACCCTAAACCCTAAAGTTCGAAGCTGCTATGATTCGGAACATGAAAGTCTCGCAGGATCTACCGCTGGCCGGACGGCTCACTGTACTCTGGGCAATGGCGTGCGGACCTCGTAGTAGACCAGCAACACGTTGAGGTTGAAGGGTTATATATATATATATAGGTTGGATCTGGACAGGGCTGATTGTCTCCGTTTTCGCACGTAGCCGCGAATGTTGCGCGTGACAACTGATACACGGTAGGACGGCGTATCCCTTTCACATGCATCATGTGTCTGTCATGTCGTTGGTGCAGTTGCCACACGACACGGCTGTGTAAGTGTTGGAGCATCTAGGAATCTAGTGAAACGAGCAGTCGCTTGGAATGCAACATGCATCTGTCCGGTTCATGCGTACTTGTGTCGGATAGGCAAAGGAAGTTTTTGGAGGCCTCTCCTCCAGAGTGTCACATTTCCCAGGTGGTGCGCTGCAAATACAACATCCGCATCGGGCATTGTGCATGGCGTTGGGTTGATTTGGTTGTCGTTTCTGTTGCACGTGTACACGGGCCACAAGACGAGGAGCTAGTCATGCAAGGACACGGCAAATAATACGATGTGTGCATAGCTAGGTACCTGGCTGATACCTCCCTTCATACAGTCTTACATAGGTACATGAACACGGCATGCACACATCTACTGTATGCGTATGCCGTGGAAGTATTCAAACATCGCATAAATGCGTGTACATACATATATGCATATATATATATATATGTGTATATATATATATACATATATATGTATGTGCAGTTACATGTACGTATATATGTATATGTATATGTATGTGTGTATATATATATATATAGATCAGCAGATACACACATGCAGCACCTGACCAAATCTGGCATCGATCAGGAACGTGGAATCTACCTGCGCAGCCAAACACGCACTTAATCAGCAAAAACCCTCAGGTCAAGCTCAAATACGGCCTAAGCCTAAGCTCGACTATTCCGCTGTAAGGAAACGACACCATAGGAGGCTATGGCCACTACCAGGGCCAGGCAGCGTTGCAAGTGGGGTTAACGATGGTGTCCAGGGCTTGGGGTTGAGGGTTTAGGTTTTAGGGTTTAGGGTTTCTGGTTCTGCCTTTCGCGAGGGGGTGGGGGTCAAGAGCTTGTAAGGCATGCATTCGCTCATCGATCAGGTTCGGCTGTTTCATGTTGTTTCATTACATGCCGAAGTGCCTGCTGCAGCAGGACGGTCGCGAGTTCAAGGGCATGTGGGATGGTGCCATCATCCATGGGAATGGCCCTCAGCTTTTGCAAGGGGCACTTGTCGTTGCAATCTGTGTCTTTCTCGCAAGTCAGAGCCGATTCGGTCGAGGTGTGGCGTCTACCTGTGGCCGGATGGTCGTATGTTTCGTTCAGAGCTCAGAACCCTATTGGCCCTATTGCATGTGGCTCGTTCTAACCCGCTGCAGGTCGCCAAGCCAGAAACCCTCAGCAAGAAATTTCCGAGTGCGGTGTCCTGTCACAGAGGCCGCTTCACACTAAGCCCAGCCAAGCACAGACGATTCTTCACAGGTAGAGTGTGCGTTGGCCGTGAATCTGTTGGGCGAAGGTCGGTCAGATTCAAACCTCCTGAGAAGTTCAGCTTGAAAGTCTTCTCGTAAACTTGAGGTTCGTGTGCCCTTGGGTGGCTCATGGTGCATGCTTCATCCCAACCCCTCCTCACTCTCTAGGAGAATGTCGCAAGAGCAGAAATGAAAAGTCTGAAGACTGAGCCCCAAACCTGTAAACCCTAAACCC